ATGTACAAACGTACATATAAATAAATCTTGGGCCCCGCAGGGAGAGGGCCCCCGCCTGAGATTTCCTCGCAGATCATTCACAGACGAGGCCCCCGCCTGATGCTTCCCCCATATTCAGGCCTCAGGAGCCCAAAAGTGACGACAGTTACAGGTTCGAGGATGACCCGCTCAGATTAAAAACGTGAATTGCGGGCCCCATAGGGAGAGGGCTCCCGCCTGAGATTTCCTCGCAACCCATTCACAGACGAGACTTCCTTGATACTTCCCCCAGACCCAAGCTAGCGAATGAAAGGGTGAGTGAGTGAGTGAGTGAGTGAGTGAGTGAATGGCCGAGTCAGTGATGATGATGATGAGGATGATGCAGATGATGATTGAATGGGCGAGAGAGTGTGTGATGGAGTGATGGTCAAGGTGATCAAGATGGTCTGTGTGTGAGTGAGTGTGAGTGTGGGTGAGTGCGTGTTTTTGTGTGTTTCTGCGCGGGGTGCCCAGAGAAACAATAATCCCATTTTGGACGTGGGGAGCAACACCAGCAGGCCAGATACTCCATATCGCGACGGTGATCTAGTATATTACCACCGACCCACCACAACGAAGGACGACTGGGGAGGTTGGAGCGGTCCATGCTTGGTTGCACGTCGGATAACGCAGCGCTTCGAATTGCGCTTTATTGCGCCGCAGGGCCACCTGCGGGGACACCTGCGATAACCATCGGAATCACGCCAACTAAGCAAGGATACTTGCGCATGACCACATCGAGCAAGCCATCACTTCAGGTGCATCTAGCACTCCAATACGCGGCCCGAAACTATTTTAGGATCGAGGACGCGGCCGCAGTCCGACTTGTCAAAACGATCCAGCGTTTACCAGCTGTCACTTTCGTTGTCAGTTGTACCCTGGCCCATTATGACAACGATGTCACGCCGGGGTTTCGCTGCTACGAGTCGAACGGCGCAGCCCTCGACGCGCGCGCAATCATTGGGTCTATACTTGCGCGGGCAATGCAGTATCTGATATCATCGATGCCTCCGGCCGGCTTCGAGAAGGGCCCCTCGAAATCCGAGGGCCGCGAGGGCGGCATTGCACCGCGCGGCGACGCTCGTCGGCGGAAACGCCTGAGAACGAAATGCACCCGCCTGCAGGGCGCCCCCCCCCCCCCCCGGTTCACTCATAACCGGGAGCACGCGTCGAGTTTTGCTTCCTCGAAGCTCGGCGCGCAGAACTTCGAGACGAACGCGTTCTTCTCGTGGCCGCAGTGTTCGAACCACCTTGCAGCGCACCCACTATCGTTGCATCGGACCAGACTTCCATGATAACCGTAGCTAACGATGACACAGGCACCCGCCATCGCGGAGACGCGCGCTACCATCATCCAGACGTGTGCCACGTCTCCGCGATTCCACGCTACGACGTAGACTATTCTCTTGTCCGCGACCAATTTGGCTTATATATCGAATTGTATTTTCCAGCAGACATGGCCATGGCCGAGCTTCCGGAACAGCAGTATAATCTACCACAGAACGACAACATTACCACACTGCGGACATGCGTCTCCGCAGCTGCGAACCGCGCGATGGCGGCGCAGGGAGACGACCTGCTCGCTGAGGCTGAAGTAATATTTCATTCAGTGCATGAGGGCAAGGCGCTTTACGCCGAGGAAAGGTTTGGCTTGATAAGAAGTGTTTCAAGAGGGCATCTCTTTCCGACGCCTCAAGCGCCATGACCTCGCGCTATGTGTGTGCATGGAAATTCGCCAAGAAGGACAATGGGGAAATTGCCAGGGCAACCCGGCTAAGAGTTGCCCCGCGAGGTGGGAACCATCTCAGCAACGGCCAGAAGGCATATTCGACATCTGTTGGCCAGTGAAGGCGCGTGCAACCGTGATTGGAGAATTGCGTCTATGGACATGGGCGAGGCATTCCTGAAGTGCCCCACCTACCGCGAGCTCGCCGAAACCATTGGAGAGCGGGATCGCATCGCATGTTTTACATTGCCACCTGGATCTTCCGCTGCGTGAAGGACTCTTCCCGGGCGTGAGAAATGCACGAAAGTCGACGCTGCTTTCAGCGCTTGAAGCCAGGCGTTGGGGCGAAGGGCGCCCCGCGCGCCCCCCCCTGGATGCTTCGCAACATCGCGTGCGGCTTCGGCCTGCGAGCGCGTGTCTTGCGACGAGGGGCTCGACGCAGTGGAGACGCCACTGACCGCCAAACACGTAGACGACGCCAACGCGATTGGAAAGGAGGAAACGATCGATCGCCGCGCGAAGCGCGTCGAACAAACAATGCACTCGGCGCGCGCGAGCTCAACGGGCGCACTTGCACCAATAAGGCCGTCAGACAGACGAAGGGCGATAGCGGAGACGTCACGTTGGATCGCGAGGAAGACATCAAACTTCCTCGGTCCATCCAGCGCGGGCGCGAAATTAGTCGCGGAAATGTCCGTTCGCCTCCACGGAGCATCAGCATGTGCTCTCATGGCCGAGGTCTGGCCGACGGCGCGCGTCGCCCCCATGCGGCGGGCGGCGCGCGATCTCACCGACATCCGGGCGCGGCGGCTGACTGCAACTGCGCGGAAACTGCAGTGCCAACCTCAGAAAATAGTCTACCCAGCTATGAAACCCGCCGGAGAAGTCGACCTACAAAGAAACTCCGGGTATCGACGATTGACCGGGGGTGTTGGGGGCGAAATGAAAGGTGGCATGAGAGGTGCCGACCTCGGCGTGGACTCACACGCAATGGCGAATCTGTCGCACACCCGAGAGATACATACTGCAAGTCGCATCGACTGAAAGTAAATTCAGCAAAGCTGCGGAGGCGCTCGCGGCAGCCCATAATTTTCAGGACTGCTACCCGACCAATGTTACCCTGCATGAGCCGAAGGCGGGGCCGCGCACACCTACGCAACTCAGACATAGATTTGGCATGGGCGGTCTCTGCATCAAAGTTACCCCTGCCACTGATGCTGGGCCAAAATTCAGATCCCAGCCCGGCGCAGACCTTCAGCAGCCTACAGACTGCACACTGCTAGGGCGCATTTAGTTGGGTAAGACAGATGATGGACATGCGTATTCCACGCAACATACAAAGGTGCGACACGCGGGATGCGACTGCCGATGGACATGCCGAAGGTAGTATGGAACGGGGCTTGCCATTAGAAGTAACGGTGGGAACGCTGTCCTCTAAGCACGAGATGAATACTTACACTCTTTACAGGGCCCCGGCCTCCAAGGTTGAGCCTGGCTCGTGACGGGTCAGGGGAATGCATTCATATTGCGTGGGGACACGCGTCGGGGCAAACCTGTGTTTCTTTTTGCATTATGCTTGTGATCGTCCACTCTTCTGCGCTGTCTGCGCCGTCGGGTTTTGATCATGCGGACCCCGCAGGGCTGCGGCTGGCACTTGGCCAGGCCAGCCCCTGCCGTCAGTTTGCGGCTCGATCCCGGCTCAAAGCCGGATCATGCCCGCCATTTCTCCGCAGGTCCAGCCTGGCTTCGGCCGGCTGGACTTGACTCGGCTCGTCTTGACACGAGTCTTCGCGCAATTCTTTCGGTAAGGCGTAGCCTGATCTTGCGGTTCGTTATGCTCGTCTTTCACCCCCTCGATTCTGAAACAGGGTAAGAATTGGTAGGTGCATGCGGCGAGCATAGCGAACGTGCCGTCGCCGTCTGGCCCAAGACGCCGGCGCCCGGTTGGTCTAGATTGGATTGGCTGTGGATTCGGCAATCTTTTGCCGCACATAAAATAAGATTTGATCAGTCTTTTGGACCGTGCCCCATCTATCATCAACCTTCCAATGTGTTACCACATGGTCCTCATCATGCTTTTTACTTTTTCACTTCCTCATGCTGCCCTGTTGGGGGTCCTTTGGTAGCCGTGGGGAGCCTCTTGGGGCCATCTTGGATGCAATCGATCAACAGAAAGTGGGGTCGCAAACTTGCCTACCCCCCACTGGCGTTCTGGGGCCGTCTTGGGTGCTTTCGAGGCTGGTTTACTGGCCTTTTGGGCCACTCTTAAGGGCTCTTTTGGGCCATTTCGGGTAAACAACCTTGAGGTCGCAAACAGAACCGAATCGGAAGCGAGAAAGCGAGAAGGCGCAGATCATGGATTTCCATCGGGATGTGCAGGATGTTGAACGGGCGATGAGAGGATTTGGAATCGTATCGTGGCCCTCGTCGGGCCTCTTCGGAGCCATGCCGGAAGCTATCCGAAACCATCGCTTGCTAGATTGAGCCGCCTTGCAGGCCAGCGTGGAGCACCAGAGGCCCTCTTGGAGCCATCTTGGGCCATCTTCGACGCTCTGACCGATCCCGGCCCGCCCAACAAATCCTCAGGGCGGTGAGGTGGGGGGTACCCCTCCACGAAGGATAGCTGGTTTTTGGAAGAGGAATGAAACATTCGCTAGACCACCGTAGCCCGAACGGATGGTGGGATCGGTTGCGTCCTGATGCGGTCATCGTTCGTTGTAACGCAGCGCTTGCACGGATGAGAGCGTCTGGCCTGAAGGCAGTCGCATCATTTGTTGTGAGGTTTTGGTCGAGTGTTGATGGTGCCGGTTACAAGTTTAGTTGGACGAGAAATAATGACAATATTAGTAGGATTTGAAATAGTATACAGACGAACACAATCAGCAAGGTTGAGTTTGATTGGTGGGGTATTGGTAAAGAAATGTTTTGGGTCGCCTCAATGTAGCAGCCGCTGTTACTGGAATTAGTGGCAATTCAAGACATCAAGAGTCGTTGAAGTTGTAGCCCCATCAGAGGTAAAATGAGAAACTGTACTGGAGCGACAGAAGTAGTATGGCGTGGTAACACTGCAAGAATTGGCATTCGCAGTATCAGTGTTTACCATCAGTAGTGGCACGTGGAATAGTAACAGTAGTGATGGTAGCCTTGGTGGTCGCGGAAATTGTGACGGTGATGACAATACTTACCTGACCTTATTGAAGCCATACCGCCCTGAGTGCGCGATTAACCTTCTCTTACCCTTCGCATTGCAGCCCAGGCATCGCCCCTGGTGTGCATCAGGAGTTCGAAGTCAGGAGAGCGCCGTCTTTTCTTTCTTGGGCGAGGTAGCGTATAGTGAAGCAGGCGGGTAATTACCGAGTTGCGCAATTTCAGCGTCAGGTGGGCGCGTGTTACCCCGCACGGTTTTCTGTACAATTTCCAGACGCAGGCTGCCGCAGGCAGGAATGTGAGCCATCATCGTGTTTCTAAGCGACGGCGAGGTTCCGATTCCGCAGCCTCCATGAGTTAAGCTGGTGGGCGCAATTCTCTTCCGCAACCTAACGAGTCAGGAAGTTGTTCAGCGAACTTTGCAGCAATCTTTGCGCAAAGTTGTTGCCTTCCAGATGGGGTGATTCTGGGTTCGTGGTCCTCACGGGTGGGTCCGGCGCGCCGAGAAAGTGTAGAACGGAGATCCCCCCACTAGAAAATCGGTCTCGGTTTCGTGTTCGTGTCGTGCGTGAGGGCGGGGCGAAGCCGCGTAGACACGCGAGAGGAATGACCCCGCCGTCGCTAGGGCGATTCGCATGCAGCGGACCGCCCCTCCGCCCCTGGTGGGCACGCAGTGGCCCCGGGTGTCCTGCCGTGGTGTCCTGTGGTGTGCCCCAGCCCTGGATCCCACTGCTCAAGCAGGAATGCAATATCAGAGTGAGGGGGCCGAACGGTGATTCACTGTCCCTGGGCGCGTGGCTACAGTGGGATTCCGCGATGCGGATTCGTGCTGTTGTAGTTGCTGCTGCTGTTGCTGTTGCTGTTGCTGTTGCTGTTGTTGTTGTTGTTGTTGAACATTATTAATTCTAAAGAATAATTATTGTTGGGCCCCCTGGTGCACGCCCCCCCCGCCGCGCCTAGGCCGCAGCTACATTTTCATCATTTTCATGAGGAAGCCTCAGGTAATTCGATGTGATCAAGATCCGGTTGTTTTGTTCCCCCCCGCTTTCCCTTGCAAAAAACACTATAAAATGAAATTTCTTGTTCAAATGTAATCAAATTTCAAGAATCCCTTGCAAAAAATAAGGTAAAGTGGACATTCGCGCGTGCAAGACGAAATCCTTCCAAAAGCTTAGTGTTCGGAGCGATTTTAACATAAAAACATCAAAAAACCAATGGTTTTTCAACAAAAAAATGTCAAAATCTCATCCCGCGCGCTCTTGCGGATTCGTAGGAAACCCAACACTTTTTAAACATTTCTGTCAAACGGGCTTTTGCGAGCAACTTTTTTCGAACTTCTGCGACAACGGTTGCGCACCTGCCAGGGCCATCATCCCTGTCAAATAATACCATGCGGGACACATTCGTTTTTTCTTCGCGCGCGCACGCCGAAATCTCCAAAAACCATTGGGTTCTTAAGAATTTTAGCACCGCGCATCATAAAATCACACGAATCGCACCGTAGGTCCTCGAAAAACACCTGCACGACTTTTCAAAATTTCCACCCGCGCGCGCTGTCCGAATCCTAAAAAACCAATGGTTTTCCAACATTTCTGTTACATGAGCTCGCGCGAGCTACTTTCGCACGCTCTTGCAACGGGGTTCGCGCGCCTGCCAGGGGCCACATCATGTGTATCATTCATATCATGTATCATATGCATCATATGCAACAGATGTTCTGTGGAAGGCTTAACAACTTCTGTGGGTTCACCAGGCTTAACAACTTCTGTGGGTGTACGAACGTAGGCTTAACAACTTCTGTGGGTGTGTACTCCACGCCAGTGTAGTAGCCACGGTCGTCCGCAGGCCACGAAGTGAAGTGTCCGAACGTCATAGGGCGGGAAGCTGGGTGTGGGTGGTGGCGAAGAGTCGTGTGGATATTTGGTAGAGCTTGTACTGCCCCCCCACAAAGTGGGGGTATTGGCTGGCGTCGCATGACAACCCTGGCACTGGTGAGAACACTGAGCGTTCGGGTAAAGTGATTGTTGTTGTTGTTGTTGTTGTTGTTGTTGTTGTTGTTGTTGTAATTGTTGTTGTTGTTGTTGTGGTTGTTGTTGTCTGTTGAATATTCACTTCTAAAGAATAATCATTGTTGATCTCCCGAAGCGGTTCCGCACGCTCTCGCCTCGACGCCGGCTACATTTTCGCTGAAAACGAGGCTCCCGCTCGAGCGTTGGCTTGACCCTAAATGTTGGCCCTTGGAGGCCCAGCTGCGACAACAATGGCTCCCGCTCGATACTTCCTCACAATTTACCCCGAGACACCCTGGCCAGAGAGGCCCCCGAACTCAGGAACGGCGCTCTCGCTCGAGACTCCCTCGCAATTCAATCAAGTTGGCGGAGGTTCAGCCACGACGACAAGGGCTCCTACTCGATACATCCTCACGATTTACTCCGAGAGCCCCTGGCCAAGAAGGCCCCCGAACTCAGAAACTGCGCTTTCGCTCGGACGTTCCCGTAATTCAGGCAAGTTGGTGGAGGCGCGGGTATCGAGGGTTGGGGAATACGGAATGCAAGACGCGCGTGCCAGTAAGAGCGAACCGTTCTTAAAAATGAATGTTGTTGTTATGGTTGTTGTTGTTGTTGCTGTAGTTGTTGTTGTTGTTGTTGTTGTTGTTGTTGTTGTTGTTGTTGTTGTTGTTGTTGTTGTTGTTGAACATTATTTATTCTAAAGAATAATTATTGTTGGGCCCCCTGGTGCGCGCCCCCCCTGCGCCGCCTAGGCCGCAGCTACATTTTCATCACTTTCGTGAGGAAGCCTCAGGTAAAACGATGTGATCCAGATCCGGTTGTTTTGTTGTAATCCGTTTTCCCTTGCAAAAAACATATAAAATGACATTTCTTGTTCTAATATAATCAAATTTCAAGAATCCCTTGCAAAAAATAAGGTAAAGTGGACATTCGCGCGCGCAAGACGAAATCCTTCCAAAAGCTTAGTGTTCGGAGCGATTTTAACATAAAAACATCAAAAAACCAATGGTTTTTCAACAAAAAAATGTCAAAATCTCATCCCGCGCGCTCTTGCGGATTCGTAGGAAACCCAACACTTTTTAAACATTTCTGTCAAACGGGCTTTTGCGAGCAACTTTTTCGAACTTCTGCGACAACGGTTGCGCACCTGCCAGGGCCATCATCCCTGTCAAATAATACCATGCGGGACACATTCGTTTTTTCTTCGCGCGCGCACGCCGAAATCTCCAAAAACCATTGGGTTCTTAAGAATTTTAGCACCGCGCATCATAAAATCACACGAATCGCACCGTAGGTCCTCGAAAAACACCTGCACGACTTTTCAAAATTTCCACCCGCGCGCGCTGTCCGAATCCTAAAAAAACCAATGGTTTTCCAACATTTATGTTACATGAGCTCGCGCGAGCTACTTTCGCACGCTCTTGCAACGGGGTTCGCGCGCCTGCCAGGGGCCATAATCCCTTGCGGTTGCGCCATAGGTTGCGCCCTCGGCCGCCGAGAATAAAACGCCCCCCTATTGGTTGCGCCATAGGTTGCGCCCTCGGCCGCCGAGAATAAAACGTCCCCCTACTGGTTGCGCCATAGGTTGCCCCAGGAGGCCTTCAAGAGGCCCCAAGAGCCCGCCGTGAGGACCCAATAAGCCCCCAAGAGGCCCCAAGATGCTTCCAAGAAGCCCCCCAAAGCCCCTCAAGAGGACCCCAAGCGGCGCCAGGAGGCTTCCCCCCTTCCCCAAGAGGACCCCAAGCGGCCCCAGGAAGCCTCCGACTGATCACTGTCACATCCGTAGCCATCTCGGATCAAGCACAACCATCGGGACAACCATCGGGACATCCATCGGGACAACGATCGGGACCACCATCGGGGCAACCATCGGGAGAACCATCGGAACAACAATCGGGACAATCATCGGGACACTCATCGCGACAATTATCGGGACAACCACAACCATCAGGACCTCCAACCAGAGAGAGGTAGTCACGTGTATTTCGTCGACGAGTGAGCCAGTATTGCACATTGAGGCCGGAACGAGAACCACAGAACAAGAATGAGCATATATCGTCTCACAACAACGGAAACAAGTCCTGTGGTATGCTGGCGCCACGCACGTGATACCAGTCAAAATAAGGGTCTTGGCTTGTGTGGTACAGAAACGTTAAAACGTCGGAAAACGGTACACGTGCCCATTGTTGGAACAGGGGTATAAGTCGTATACTAAGCTAGTTTCCACAAGATGTTACCACAAGAAGTCATTGTAACCATGCGCCAGTGTAGTAGCCAAGGTCGTCCGCAGGCCACGAAGTGAAGTGTCCGAACGTCATAGGGCGGGAAGCTGGGTGTGGGTGGTGGCGAAGAGTCGTTTGGAAACTTGGTAGAGCTTGAACCGGCCCCCCCACAAAGTGGGGGTATTGCCCGCCTCCTATGAAAACCCTGGCACTGGTGAGAACGGAGTGTCCCCAGTCTTAAATGATTATTGTTGTTGTTGTTGTTGAACTCTCACTCTTGAAGAATAATTATTGTTGATCCCCCCCCACCGGTGCACATTGATTTGTTTCGATTGAAGTGCCACCCCCGGGGCTCGCACCTTGTTTTTTCTCAAGGAAAGTCTTCCTGCTCAAACTGTGCCCCTGCCCCCCGGGCTACAACAACAACGGCTCCCGCCTGAGACTTCCTCGATTTTTACTCAGGACCCCCGCTCCCGCCTGAGACTTCCGCGCAATTTACTCAGGAAAGGCGCTCCCGTCTGAGACTTCCTCGCAATGTAATCAAGACCCCCGCTCCCGCCTGAGACTTCCGTGCAATTTACGTGGGAACGGCGCTCCCGCGTGAGACTTCTTCGAATTTTACTCAGGACCCCCGCTCCTGCTTAACATTTCCGCGCAATTGACTCAGGAACGGCGCTCCCGCCTGAGACTTCCTCGCAATTTAGTGAAGACCCCCGCTCCCGCCTGAGACTTCCGCGCAATTTACTCAGGAAAGGCGCTCCCGTCTGAGACTTCCTCGCAATGTAATCAAGACCCCCGCTCCCGCTTGAGACTTCCGTGCAATTTACGTGGGAACGGCGCTCCCGCGTTAGACTTCTTCGAATTTTACTCAGGACCCCCGCTCCTGCTTAACATTTCCGCGCAATTGACTCAGGAACGG